CTTATTCTTTATCTGAAGTCATTAACTAAGCAAGTAGGTTATCAAATAGAGAACAGAGGGAAGCTTCTACTATAGATGATTCCCAAATACAGCAGTGGAAGAACTCAGAGTTTAACTGCTGACCAAAGATATGCTGGCAATGGATCTCAGAACTTTGGTCCATTAAGACGTAAGTGTAATATACGCAGTTCCTTTGATTAAAAAGTTTTGGAAAAGCCATCTTCGTGTGGGGAAGAGAAGTTAGTTTATTATAGTGATGATACTAAAAGAGGAAAATCAAAGGAGCAAACAGCAGGCAGTGGTTCTTTTCCTCTCGAACTCCAATGATCACTTCACATTTGTCAGCTTTAAAGTCCAAGCAAACTCCACTGGGACAGCAGAGGGTGGCAACTGGGGCAGAGAAATGAGGAGGCCTTTATCCGGATCTGCAGACCACTTCAGATTTTCTTGGACTCCCAGCATTGTTATCTACAAAAAATCAACAAGGAATGGAAAAAACCAGTAATTCATTACTGAGGACAGAATATGGCCTGAACAAGATGGGAAACAACCTTGTTGCACCAGGGTAGGGAAGACAGTCTAAAAGGGGTGCCTATACATGGGGGAAACCTGGGGAAGGAAGAAGTAGACAAGGCCTGCCAATTGCCTTAGAAAAAGTTACATCTTAGAAAGTACTGGCTGAGGCTTTTTACCTTTGTAGTCAAGTAAGTTATAGGGGATTTAAGGTTTAAGACTCCATTTTCTGGCCAGTGTAGAAAAATGGCATAAACAGTTGATCCTTTTGAGGTATACCTGGGAAAAAAGAAACACCATTGTCAAAGATACCTGGCTTGTTATCTGGATAACCTTACGCTTTTCCCCTTTCAATTTCTACCAAATCCAAGACTTTGAGCCCATCACTGCTACTAGGAAGCACTAATAACTTGAAACTAATTAAAGTCTGTGGGAAAGAATCAGTCTATAAGACTATTTCGGGTGATACCTTCTATTTTCCCTCTCTATTGGGTTATAATGTTTTCTTTAAAAATTAACTGTTATACTATTTCTTTTACACTGAAACCACTTACCTTATTATTCAAATTTTTTTCCAACTCCAAATCCAATGGGAAATCACAGAGGTTATAACAAGAGCAAGATGTGCAATGAAGACAAATTTATTGTTCTGAGATTTCAACATGTTTAGAGAAGAGGATGAAAATCACTAAATAGAAACTCATCCAAAACAGAGGGATTAATGTATTTCCCCTGATCCAAAGACCTAAGGTATTTGGTATAACATTAGCAGTCACCTGTCATTGAACACTTAGTTTGTGCCTGGCACTCTGCTGGGTGCTTTACATACATTATCTCATTTAGTCCTCACAACTCTATGAAGTTAGGATATCACCACCACATTTTGCAGCTGAAAGAACTAAGGCTTGGGATCAAATAAGTAGATCTACAAGTCCATGTATGAATGGAAATAATTTGGAACGGAGCCCTGCACATTGTAGGTGCTATACAAGCACCGGCTATTACTATTTTTAGGAGGCAGGGTAACAATCTCAATTAAATTGATGCTTTGTAGCTCCTTCCCTTTTCTTTTTATTTTTTTTAATTTTAATTTTTTTTGTTGACTTTTTTTTTTTTTAACCGAAACACAGTTGATCGTGCATATCTGTGGGGTACAGAGTTGAACATCGGTACCTGTGTGCAACACGTGATGCTCAAATCAGATAATTAGTATATTCAACATTACACAATGTAAGCGCTTTTCGTGGCCCTTTACCAATTCCTCCCCTTACCCCACCCCTCCTTCCCACCTCTGGTAACCTTTTCACCAAGTGCAAAGCCTCCCTCCCTAGGCAAAGGTAGCCTGGAGGCCTAAGACATAATTCAACTGGGACACACATTTTATAGCAAAAGAATAGCTTTTGAGTTTCCTCAGGATGACTTTCACCCTGTCGTGTAACACTGTGGACTCAAGGAGATGCCAGTTCAGGATGGGCCACAGTCCTGTTCCTACAAGCAACAGAAGACAAGACTCACCATACAGACGTTGTGTTTTTTTCCAGTTGCACCCTCCATGGTTTGGAGGCATAGATAGCCTCCCCATTGATGCTCAGCCACTTCCCAACAGCAAGAAGCCTTTCTTGGAAGATGGGAACAATCAATCCATCTTTAGTTGGTCCAATGTTCAGAAGATAGTTGCCTCCCAGACTTACTGTCTGAACCAATTCCTGGAGAGGGCAGAAACAATGAAAGCCTAGCAATGAATGCCAAGCCTGCCATTATGCTTAGAACACACAGACAGTAAGAGAAGAAAAAGAATTGAGGGCACATTCTCCCTGCTTTGTGACTATCCTTTGCCATTTAAAAAATATTATATTTATTTACTTATTTATTTTGTCATTATAAAGACAGGACAGGCTCGTATGAGAAGACTGAAAAATCCTGCTATAAGATGGAGAAATACATCGACTCAAATTCCAGGGAGTGGTCGTGAGACTGCACTCCCCACGGCGCCAGATGCAGTGGGAAGTGTCATGTCTCAGAGGCGCAAGGTGTGAGCAGGGAAGCTGAGGGAAGAAAGCACTTGACCATGAAGGGATCACATGGACTGACAGAGAGAGAATACAGGGATCAGAGAGGAGAGATTCTGAGTGGCTGCTAGGGAGAATTTGGGGAGCTGAAAGAGATGTGAAGAATTTCAGGACATCCTGTATGTGATAGGCTATATAATTGCACATGCTGCCCCTGTGGGAAACATGCTATAAAACATATTTCTCGGGGCCGGCCCAGTGGCGCACTGGATAGTGCGCCGCTTAGGAGGCGCCGCAGCGCTGCCGCCCGAGGGTTCGGATCCCACATACAGACCGGCTCCCGCTCACTGGCTGAGCGAGGCGTGGGAGCAACACCGAGGTTTGCAATCCCGTTGCCGGTCCCTGGTCCGGTACGGGGGCAACACTGAGGGTTGCGATCCGTTGCCGGACACGGAACAAAAAGACAAAAGACAAAAAAAAAACTGAGGGAAGAAAGCACTTGACCATGAAGGGATCACATGGACTGACAGAGAGAGAATACAGGGATCAGAGAGGAGAGATTCTGAGTGGCTGCTGGGGAGAATTTGGGGAGCTGAAAGAGATGTGAAGAATTTCAGGACATCCTGTATGTGATAGGCTATATAATTGCACATGCTGCCCCTGTGGGAAACATGCTATAAAACATATTTCTCAAGGCTTCTGGAGTGGGATTTGGGTGTGTTTATCGTGACCTTGAATAGGCATATTTCAAGACTGCCCTCCAAAATTAAGTTTACACACAGAAAATTTTTAAAAAGGAGAATTCATTACAGTATTCCAAAAGATACCACACCCTTAACTTTTGATGTCTCCTTCTAGTCTTTTCCCTATGCAGTTAATTTTATATAGTTGCAATAATATGTAACTAATTTTTCACTCAACACTCTAAGCATTAACCCATGTTACATTCATTAACATTTTAATGGTTAAGGACAATCCCCAAATCTACCTAATTATCCCTTTATGGTTGCAAGAAATTAAAACAACCCATATGTCCAATTGAAAATAATCCTGGCAAGAACATCTCTATTATGTAAAACCTACTGTAACTGTAGTTAATTCCTTAGGATGGGTTTCTGTTGGCATGTTCAATAACCGTAAAGGGTTCTGTTGACTTACAGGTCCAGCCACAGTGCTTCCATCACTCTTAGCTACAAGGCTGGTTTGAGATAAGTAGTTAAAAAATAACTGATTCTGGGCCGGCCCGTGGCTCACTCGGGAGAGTGCGGTGCTGATAACACCATAGGGATGGCCGGTTTGCTCACTGGCTGAGCGTGGTGCTGACAACACCAAGTCAAGGGTTAAGATCCCCTTACCGGTCATCTTTTTAAAAAAATAAAAAAATAAAAAATAACTGACTCAGAGGTGCTCTTACCGAAATGATTTCAGATTCCCCTGTAACATCAGACATCACCATGTTGCGACGATAGCCCCAGGACATCTTGTCAATGCTTGTGCACATCTCCCACTTGTGATCTGGCAAGCTCTCTGGCTTGAATTTATCTTCACAGTTAAAGTATCCTCCATGGTGACAGGAACAGTTCTGACCCCATCGGTCATTTACAACTACCTCATCCTAGAAGAGGAAAGAGTACTGGGTCATGAGGAGAAAAACCACTTAGCTTCTTTATGTAATGTAGTTTGATACATTAAGAGTCTATTTGGAAGCAAGGAACAGTTAATCTGCAGCACTGGTTCTCAACTGTGGGCAACTTTGTCCTGGACCTAGAGGGGACATTTGGCAAAGTTTAGAGACATTTTTGGTTGTTACAACTGGGGTGGTACTACTGCCATCTAGTGGGTAGAGGCCAGGGATGCTGTTAAACATCCTACAATGTGCTGGACAGCCCCCACAACAAAGAAATATCAGCCCCAATTGTCAATAGTGCCAAGGCTGAGAAATGCTAGTCTAGAGATATATGACATCAGAGCTGGTAGAGCCTGTTTTAAAGATCATCTAGTAAACTACTTACAGCAGTCCCCCTTTATCTGTGGGGAATACGTTCCAAGACCGCCAGTGGATACCTGAAACCACGGACAGTACTACATATACCATGATTTATTCTTTTTTTTTTTCCTGTAAATTTCTTTTATTCTGTATTTTATTCTATACATACAGGCTTTAACCTGTGATAATCTTTTACTGTTACTAATATATATATTAAACTTTAACAACAACAATAATAAAATAGATCAATTATAACAACATACTGTATAATAAAAGTTATATGGGTGTGGTCTCTCTCTCNTCTCTCTCTCAAAATATTATGGATAACTGAAACCTTAGATAAATGGGGGACTACCGTATTTTGTTAGAGGAGAATTGGAGAGGAGAGGACATATCTGAGGTCATGCCCCTTGGCAGAGTTTCAAAAGCTGGGACTACGTATCAGGTATCTGAACCCAGCCCAGGATGCCTTCCACTGCATAACCCTGACTTTCTTTACCTGGGTAAAGAAAAGTCAGCAATCAAATATTCTTTTTCTTCCTTCAAGGTTTAGCTGAATTATGAGAAATCATTACATGGAATATCTTAATGTAAATGTTTAATATAGCAGTATATTTTATAACAATGTGGCCAATGCAAGGTAATAACTGAAAAGACTTTCAACTTATCACAGCAAAAGGAGATTTAATAAAAGCTAAAAATTCCTATTTCTTGCCTGTTTAAGGGTCATTCACATTGCTATGGAAGTTTCTCCT